AGTAAATTTTGGGGGGGGATTGTCGAGTGTTTTTCTGTTATTAAATGTTAATTAAAGCAAATATATTGTTGTTAACTGAAGTTTTATTATTAAAGTAGCATCCTAGAATGTGACACCCGAGGGCAAGAGTCCATCTGTTTACTTCTTTTGTGTGAACAGACGGACTTCTCTTTGTTTCCAATGATCGAAAGGAGATTGAATAGAAAACAGGTTTTCTAGTAGACTTTTACTTCTGTCGGAAATTAGTTTTTTCACATTAATTTTTTTCTCTATAAACACAATTAACTGAGAGTGTGTTTTATACGATTTTAAAGCTACAAAAAAACTTTGGTACCTTACTCTACATTGTTTCTATATATATAAACATTTAAGAAACGTGAACAATTCAACAGATTAAACTATAGTTTAATGGGTAATTTGTAAAAATCGTGACGTACAAACACATAAAGTGAGTAAAATTTATTAGTAAATTATCCTACATTTTTCTTCTTCTTCTATGGAAGTGAGCCAGAATTAGAAAGAAAAACAGTTGTTAAGTTATTAATTATTGTTATTTCTCCCTTCCAAAATATAATTGTAAAGGTTCTAGACTTAATTAACTCGAAAAGACTTTGGTCTAAACGCGTGACGTAAATAGAAGGGAGGTTAGAAGAAAAGAGCATGCCTTATACTAGAGCGCTTCTATTGAAAGCTTATTGTAATTCTCCTCTCCCCCTCGACTAGCTTATAACGTTTTTAATAAGTTAAAAATCTGTAAAAGCGAACCTCTAAATAACGAAGAGAGCATGGGGGCATAATAAACGAGGCACCAAGGTGAGCCAGGTTGAGATTGGGAAGTGGGACAAACCTCATGAGACTGGTTGGAAACCCACACCCCGAGGGACTACAAAGACACGCCCAGTAACGTAATGCAGACGAGTTAAATATAAAAAAAAAATACAGTAGAAAAAAAAAGGCGAAAGGAAATTTTCTTCTTCTTATACCAGCGTAACAAAACAAGAAGAACATTCCTACTAGAGTATAACTACGTTTAAACATAACCTAGTTTGTTATTCATAAAAATAAAGCTTATACAGAGTTTAACCCAAGGCAGTTGTTAACCTTGACTTTAGAAAAATACAAGAACTTTTTATAGTATATATTAAATAATAAAANTTTTCTGTACTATATTAAAAAATAAAATTTATTTGTTTGTAAGCTTAAAATACATCATTATTAACCATATATTATTAAAAATGCATTAATAAATAAAATACAGAATCGGGAATGGTAATTTATGGTTTAGCCTAGTGACAAGTAGATTCGGAGACAAGTAAATTCGACTTACGTCGTTTTTCGACTTACGTCGTTCTCCTGGAATCAATTACCGACGTAAGGCGAGGTATACCTGTACTGTAAACCAATGGTCTAGATCTGCTCTTTAAAATCCTTAAAAAAGAATGCTAACTGAAGAGGAATTATAATTTAAAAAAACAACCCGAAATGCATTTTATCAAAATAAGATTTTTTGGTTGTGTATTAATTTTTATAATAGACAATGAAAATAAAAGGTTTAAAATCGCGTAAGTGTGGTTACAAATTGGTGTGATAAATATTAAATAATAAAAATTATTAATCTATCAATAAGATACATCTATTTTTATATAATTCGAAGTACACTAATTAGTAATGTAGCCAGTAAAGTTGTAGTAATTAAGCCAATTCTGGAATACTTAAAGACTCAAAACATATATTAATTTTGATATTATAGAAGACGTTTATAGATAAATAATTAGAATAATTAATTATAGTCCATGTACTGTACTTTTAAGGTAACAAAATCGAAGTTGAAGAATCCTGCTTTGGGGACCGAAGCGCTATTAAAATAAGAAAATTGTACCTACACTAATAATAAACTAGTGTAAATTACGATTCTAAAGGGTAATTTAATGGTAATAAATAAAATTAATCCCACAAAGTCTTCATTAAAAAGAAATAAAATAAATAATAATAATATGTAAGTTTATTGTTAAAGTCTTTAACGTTTGGATAGGAAAATATTCGACATTTTGATATGGACGAAGAGAAAAGGCAGTAAAATTCGGGTCGAGACTACAATTACGAGGCCTTCTATTTCCCTCTTAAATACGATCCAGTCCGTTATTATGAGCATTTACACTTGTTATTTTACACTATTTTTGAGGGGTACACGCCCTTTTCCATGGATATAGGTTAGAATGATGACCCTTGACACCAAATCTTAGGTTACGTTCTTGCATACATAGCGAAAGGCCACTTGTGAAAATATTCTATTTAAGTATTCTTTTATAACAGTAAAAAGCATTCGTGATCATGTGAAAATATTAAAAGCTTAAAATTTGCATTTACGCCTGCGAACCGTGTATAACGCGCACGCTGAAATATAAAAATTATACACTAAATAGGCTAAATTAAATAAATAAAACTTTAAATTATTAATTATGAATTTCTTCCACGAGGAAAATATAAAGGAAACATGCAAAATAACTAATAAATATGTCTTTATTATCACGGATAAAGCATTGCCATAGAGGAAAAAAAGTTTATAATTAATACACCATGGTATATATTTCGAAGTTAATAAGGCAAATAGCATAACAAATTATCCTCTTAAAACTGTCACGCATGAATTAACTAATTAGAAAAATCGTGATAATGTTAATTACGTCGTGTTCCATTTAGACAGTGGCAATCTTAATGTTTCTGACGATCAAATTAGTGAACATGACTCTAATTATGATGAGAAAAGTAAGTTTTTACTAATATAAATATTAAAAATTACGAGTTAAAATGCTTTAATTTATATAAATTTAATGCTTACACAATGCAAAAAATATAACTTTTATTCAAAGTATAGCCTTACTAACATGTAATGTAACTGCGCAGTTGACTTTACCAATTATTTGTATTTTTATTTTCTTCCTTTTCCGGCATTAATATTATGCGCAATCCATGTAAATACGTTAGTAATAAATTAATAAATTAATCGAATTGCTACTTTTCCGAATCCGAGCTTTAAAATTGCTAAAATAATTATAATAGTTATTATTCACTAGGATTTTTTTCCATTTATCCATGTAAATTTTGCGTGTTTACCTCTGTATTTGTATTATTTCGAAAAATCACTTATGCTTTCGATGATTTTTAATAAAAAATTAAGTTTATTTTTATTTTTGTAATGTATTATTAACGTTTTCTATCGTCAAATCTACATTTAAATATTATTCTGATACTCATTAACGTTCTTCTCCAGAAATGTATTAGGAATACTTAAAAGGCCTGAAGGCAACAAGCAACAACAGTAACTTCTTAGCAGTTATATCAACCCAAAACATTAAAAAAATATCAGTTATTTTAATAAATAAAATAAATTTTCTGTTGCCACTTACGCTGTCAATGTCTTTGAATTGATATAACCTACATATTTTCATATAGATAACTCAGGGCATGACTTAGACTTGTGGCCCTAAGTTAAAACATACAAGAGGCCCTCTCCTTCACAAAATAATGTATACAAGTTCTTGTTGCATAGAAATTCAGGCGAATTTTGCATCATAAACTCATAGACTTATTCGCATAAATCTTCACAAGGATTTTATGTAAATATGGTGCCTTTTCTAAGGAACGAAATTAACAACAAATATTCAATAGATTAACCCAAAATCAAATTAAACTTATTCAAAATGTAATTATTCATATAGCATGACATCAAGATTAATGCTAGAGTAATTTATTTGTATGTAGAAAGGAAGATTATAAGAACATAATTTAAGAATTTCCAGTCAAATTATACCATTTTTGATTAATATACCGAGGAATTCTTCATTCTAACGGTTTAAAATGATATAATAATGAGGGCAAAAAGTCACCACCACATAGAAGTTATTTTATTTTTTTCTCCCCTTTAACTTTTTTTTTTTTTTTATAACAGTAGGCAACTCATTACTCCTAACGACAATTATTTTCTATTGCATAAAGCAACTTTAAGACGAGACATATATTTACAGCTGGATGCTTTCGGTTTCTCTCCTATTAATTGTATCCCACCTTGGCGCCACACCAGTCACGATGTTAAAATGCCGGGAGAACGTGTTTGTTCCAAAAGACTATTACCTCAGACCTTATACAAGTACGTGATGGCTTCTACATAGTATAAGAAGCAGCGCCTAAAGCGTTGTAATCATCACAGCAAACAAGGCACTAGGTTTACAAATACGTCCCTTACATAAATATGATTCTAATTAACATAATTAGAAAATTAATGTAGAATTCAGCTAGTTGTATAGTAGAAAATTAAAGAAAAACGCACTGTTTTCTTTCCATTTTTATTCAGAATGATTTTGGTTTTCATCTATGACGATCATGTGGGTAAATATTTATTCATGAACGTTTCAATGTCACGTTTGGTTGCATCGTTAAATCTACGCCCCTTGGTATATTCCCGTTATGTTACAATCTTACTTTAAATGCTTATCAGGTCTTACTTTAAGCTTCTATCATCTTACGTAACTTTTCTGTATACTTTCCTGTATTCCTCCTGTTTATGTATTTTTTTTCCCTACATTCTTGTCAGTTCTTTGTGTCTTCCCATGGTATATAAATGTCCCTCTCGTGTCTTTTGTATCAACCTTTGTATGCGTGTCATGAATGTTCCCCTTTTTTTTGTACTGTATCTACCTATTCACGTGTTTTTCACAGTATTTATATATCCCTATTATGTTTTGTTTCTATATTCTTTCATGTGTTTCCACTTGAAATATTCTAACTATTGTTCATCTTAAAATTTCTCCACTTTTACACGTATATCATTACACAATAACTTCTTTTCACAAGTCAATGTATTGTATTATGAGTAAAATAGTATATACACGCTATCTATAATCTATAAAAGCTTAAAAATAAAGCCAACTTCCATTAAAGTTTGCAGTTTTATCTACAAAAATAAGCAAAAAAAAAATGTAAATAATAACTTCAGCACTTACCAGGAACAATCGAGTTTTCATATCCAATTTTACGTGTTATAAAAATAAATAAAAATACAGGTTTCGATATCAAAATATTATTTATCTGTTCGATAAATTAGCGAACATCAGACAAACTTGCACTTGAAAACGTGATTCATCAGCGTGTATAAAGTCCAACGAATCTAATTTAACACGTTAAAAAAAAAATACAGTATATTTTAACAGGTTCCGTATGTAACTATTAAATAATGAATATAATTATTAATTTATGAGCATAATTTACTTTAAAAAATTCCAAATATTTCAATTATGTTATCAACTAATCAATTTGTTATTGTGTAAATTTGAAAATGGACGCCATATTGGAGTATTTTATATTGCATGAATTACTGTATTTTTAAAGTATGAAGTATGCTGTTGGTTTATCTTGAAAAGTTTATATAAAATAAAGAATTATATGCAAATCTGTAACTGAAATTATGGTTTATACGGCATAAATTATTGAAATTGCATCGTTTAGGTACGAAATATCGGCGGAGGTGTTCATAATAATCCATACTTTAACATAGTTTTAAATATATATCCCATTATCATGTCTAATAAACTTCATAATGAAGGCTTGAATAAAGAAATATATACAATAACGTCCATCTCTAAACAGCAGGCCATGTTTGACTGTATTTATTATTATTATAAAAATTCAAAAGATGGTAAACAAAGCTATTATCAATCAGGATAAATTTTATTTATGATGTTTTTCTTCAATTTCTACCTCCATAAACTGTATAAGGCCAACATAAAGCACAAGAAAATAAGGCATGAAGTGTCAATAACCTTTAAAGTAGCCATTATTAAAGAAACTGGTCGAAGTGAAGATAGGAGGAGAGACAAAGAAGGGTCTCAATTTAAACCCTGCCTGCCGATATCCATCCCACAGAGTATCTTAGATATATGCCCGCCTGTAGTGAGATAGATGAGTGTGGGTTGGAGTCAAGGTGGAGACAAGCTAGGATTACATCCCACGCCGCCTCTTGTGCACAATCTTGTCGCATAGTTAATGCTATTCCTTATCAAACATCGCTTAATTACGTAGTATCCAGGGGGTTCAAGAAGGTAAATATTTTCTGGAACAAAAAAATAAATATAATCCAGATGTAATTACTGATACGAATAATTAACATATCATTTTGTGTTGAATTTATTCGCAATTGCACAATAAAAATCCATCATTACCTTCGGGAGAAACTATAATTTCGATATTTTGTCATTGTTTTTAAGGAATAATTTAACATATTTAAAGATTAAATTAAGAAAAAAAATATTTTCAGGAATTTTTGTTAAATTTAAGGAAAAAAACGGGAATTTCCCTACCGGTCAGGTAATTAATCAATTTAAAATTAATACTTCAGATTTTCCCCTGGAAGTGATGTTTCTATGATTTTACACAAAAGGGAAATTTAAGGGAAATTGCGGATATTTGCATAGCATTCATCCCCTGATAAAGGAACAGAACACAAAACACTCTTATTAATAATACAAGAAAACGTCACAATATATTTTTTGAATTTTATATTCGGGAAATTTAGAGTTTAATATATCGATTTAGGGAAATTTGGGGAAATTTCCCTAGATCCATTGAATCGAGATTTTTCTGGCATAAATCAATTTTGTGTACATGGTTTTAATTGTAGGAAATAATATATATATATATATATTTTAATCGTGTATTTAATGATCAAAATTTATAAGATGAAAAAAAGAAAGTTCTTTTCACACAAAATGTAAAGAATTTCAGCGTTATTTTCCTTTGTTTACTTTCTTTGTTGTTGATAATGTCGTCTCTAATCCAGTTCAGGTGAACGGTTTAATATTAAAGAAATATAAAACATTACCTCCCCTGAAGATAAGAGATAAGCAAATGATTCGCTCTACATAAACAATAAGATTGTATATCATTCCTAAGAGAGAATGTGTATCTGCTAATAACATCTCTTAAGTATATCACGGAAGTATATAATAAGCGACTATTCACTAAAAATAATATCGTCCTAGAATAAATGATAAGAAATTAAAATTACTCTAAGGCGTGTCTTTAAAAATAAATATAAAAATCTCATTATTATAAAGTATTTTTAAATAAAAAAAATCAAACTTTGAATATTTAGGGATATTCAGGGAAAGTTTTCATCTCAGTTTTTCCCCCCAAATAAAAGACTTCGCTAATTTAATCGAAAAATATTTGAGAAGTTTTGTTGCGACATATTTAACTAAATGAAATAACTAATGTAGGGAAATTTAAAGAAATTTCGAAAATTCAGTAGATTAGGGAAATATATTTGGGGATATTCAGGGAAAAAGAAAAGATCTGGTCAATAACAATGATCCAGTATTTTCCTCAAATATAAGACCTAATTAAAGAAAGTTATATTTGAATAATTTTATTCTAAATGAATATTATAATTTAAATAAATGAAATAACTAAAAAAAATTTAAAGAATTTCGAAAAAATTCAGTAGATTTAGAATATATTTAGGGATATACAGGGAAAATTTTGATCACATGATTTAGTATTTACCCAAATAAAGATTTGCCTAATTTCATTATTTTCAGAAGATTGTAATCGGAATTTTATTATTAAACTGTTCATTTGTCTGTTGAATTAAGCGATTACGTTATCTATATTTAATATCGTCAGAATAATAAAATGGAAAATTAACAAATAAAAATTTATTAGATAAAGATTTATAAACAATAAACTGATAGGTAGAGAAATTTTTATATATAAACTTTTAATTTTAAAATCGAAGGAAAAATGTGAGGGAAAATTTAGGGAAATGGCTTTTTTTTTAGTTCATTAACTTCTCATTTACTACGGGAATGTGTGACTATTTAAATCACTTTAAATCATTTTAAAATTAAATTTTTACAGAAATAAAAATCCCAAAAATTCCCTACACAAGAAATTTCCCTAGCCCCAAGAAATTTCCCTAAATTTCATAGGGAAGTTTCTGGGAATTTCCCTAAAAACTCGATTCGGGCGATGTTTTTCGAAAATTTAATGAAAATACAATAAAATTGAGCAAATTTAACCGAAACTTTGCATTAATTTTTAGAAAACCCTCCAAAAAAATTAATTTTACGATAATTTTAGAATGTTTTTAATAAATGAAAAGTCAAATAACCAAGTTTTCTTTCTATGACAATGATATCTTAAAAGCGTTGGCGTTATTTTTTCAACAAATATAATGCAGGAATACCGGTTAGCAATGTTGTTATAGCAATAAAAAAATATATATATATTAACAATTTGCTTCTATTTAATAATGAATAATTCATTTACATAATGTAAATTTATTAATGGGGTCGCATTTTAATAGAATTTATTTTCTATAAAGATCGTTTTTCCATGATTTAAAAAATTGTTTTATTTAAAATTATGTCTCTTTTAAGGTGTTTTCAAGCGTATGCACATTCCACTTGCATGATTATTATACAGTCAGGCCTCATTACAAGGAAGCCAGAAGGGCCATTTGGCTAGGGCGTCATATTTACGGGGACTCAAAAATAATGCATTCCACACTATTTCTTTTTATTCAAATCACTTTTATGCACTTTGGTAGATCAAGTGATGCATAAAATACACGTACGAAGGGCCTCTCAGCTTCTTAAGGCCCTGGTAGATTATGAGATGCCCTGTTTTACAGCATAAAAAAGTAGAGAGGACCTTCTTTACTTAGAGTTACAATTCTTACATACAGTTTCTTTTACTGCATACCATGAAATAATTTGATTTACTATAAGTGCATAAATGGTGATTTTTATCAGTTATAGGATGTAAAATTAATAATAAAATGTAAATTTTTATAATGTTACTACGTACAGAAAACATTTCTTTGATATCAAGTAGTAAAACAGAAAGTTCAACCTGTCCTTGTATTGTTTATCTGACTTTAAATAATTTCGCCCAAGGGATCTATCTATCACAAATCAAGAAAAGTTGTTAGCCCAAGAGAAAAATTTTTCCCCTTTTATGGGTTGTTAATGGTACAAAATATATATATATATATATGGGCACACCCAGCAGTAATATACATTCTTAAGTCTTAATTTACTTGTTTACTTTCTAACACAATCAATTTTATTTTTAATATACCTGTCTAATGTAATAAACAAGACTCCATAATAGAAGGTTGAGAAGGGAAGGGTTTGTTTTTCTTTCCCCTCCCATTTTTTTTTGGTATGAATCAATTTAGAACTTTATCCCTTGCATCTCTTTTGTCATTTTGGACTTTATATTGTTTAGTAATGTTAGCAGGAACATTCGTAAGGTTTCTATTATCCACTATAAGGTCACTAACCGATTAACACAAACGGCGCCTCTTTGGATATGTAAAAGTTCGATTTTCGATAAGATTTAGTTTATATTTTTGTTTATTTTGTTTACAGTTTTTGTTTCGGAGCACGATAAAACGTATTGTGACTAATACAAACTAGTCTTACCTTGCGTACACTCACTCTCCTTACAGGGAATCTAAGGCGATTCTATTAACTCCTTACAATTAAAAAAAAAGCCAGTAAATAATCTTATAAGTTTCACGCAACAAGTAACAAATTGCACGCAATTACACGCGAAAACACAAGAAAAACAATACTCTAACAATAGCGATCGACAAAAATGATCGCTTTCAGAATTACATAGACGGTGGCGCCATCTGATTGCAAAGAAGTCAATTTCTTATCGAATATTTTATTAAGTAATAAAAAAGATAAATGTTTAAATATTTAAAAAAAACATCAATTTTATACATTCAGAAATTTTATATTAACATATGTATAGTTTGACCTATTACACTGGATGCTTTTCGTGATTTGTAATAACAATGGAGACATTATAACACGGCGAACTTTGTACAATAAGGGGGAAACAAAATAACGTTGTATATAGCTTTTCTATTGTTGTGTAGCCTTGTCAGCGTCAAAACCTGATTCGGTTCCAAGTAATTATTTTATTATACGAATAGCAATAAAAAAAAAGGTCCTCCAGGTAAATAGAAAGTGGAATTTCCCATGATTCGAGCCCTCGAGTAACCATTGTTTTACCTATGCTAGGAATCACTTACACTACAGTAAATAAAGAATAGAAATTTACAGGATAAAAAGCCTTAAATTGTAGACCTTTTATCGTAATAAATCAATAAGGTACTGTACTTTAACACAGTGATATACTTAAAAAAATTTTTTTACTTACATACCGAATTAAAGGATTTAAAATGGTGCCTATCAGCATTGCATACTTTGGATTCTATGTTCAAGATCTTCCCCACAACCTGCTTCTGTTAGAAGGCATTTCAAACGCGCTCTTAACTATAGATGTGGCATTAAGTATACACTCGGCTCAAGGGCTAAAGTTCAAGGGCGCCAATCACTACCCTGAAGAAATTCGCGTGTTCTTTAACTTCTCAATTATTCCAAGATTTACGTTAAAACAATACCAAACACTCGAATATTCGAACTTTAAAAATGCTACCGTAGTAACAAAAGGGAATAAACGGCGCCATCTTGGGAAGAAAACGAGAACTAAAAATGAAACTGGTGTATGTACTTACCGGTACAGGTGCGTACAGAAAAAGTTGTTATTCCGAACTTTCTACGTCGTCTATAATTATTCGATGTTGCTTTAGTAATAATATCAACCGGAAAATAACAATCAGATGTCCCAGTTACGTTAAGAGAAAGTACAGTATTCTTTTCTTCTGTTCTTCTACACCTGAAGCGTCGTTACGCAACACGAAATCATTTTTATGACTTGTTTATACGATAACTTGTATACTTTTACTTATTAAATTCTACATTAATTAAGTCATTAATAACTATTCTTCTAAAACACAGGTATTAATGGGTATTGAAAGTGAAATTCTGAATACATGTGAATAAATTTTAGGTCCACGTTCCTTTCTAGAAGGCTAAAAGGTCATTGTGACTGTGTATAACATTGAGAAACAGGGACAACAACCGATATTGGGTTAAGGTCCAATCCTACAGCAGAGATTTTTTGAAGTAGTACAGTACTACATACAGACAAACATACAGATTTAATTTATATTAATTTAACTATAATTTTTTTCCTGTTAAATTTATAGCGTATTAGGTATGTTAGTTATATGTATATTTATTTTATTTTTAAATTTAAATTATACCCCTCAAAAAATTGATTTTCAAATTAATGTCAAAAAGTCCCCCCCTTCTATCCAATGAAACAATTGAAATATTGTAACTGTAATTTCATTCAGGAAATATTTAAAGATAAATAAAGAAATCAAATAGGGGTTACCAGTTTGAGAAAAAATTGTCCTCGTTTTGAGTACGAATCATTTTTAAATTATAGAAAAAAATGGGGCCATTTGATCCATAGAATTTATATCATTTGCATATATTATCGAATACCAGGACCTCGTGTTACGACTCTGCAGCTTAGGGTATATTTGATAGAGCGGGACCTGATATAGTTTAGGCCCACAACTATTTAAATTTACACTTATTAACAGGGGCATGCTTCATACAAGGTGGAATTTGTGTAGTGTAAAACGATCTCCCCCCACTCGAATAATTCTCAGAATGTTCTACTAAACTTAAACGATCCCACGCATTAACCTATTGACTCGACTTACTCATTAGAGTGCAATATCCCCCCTTCGTGAGTAAACAAACCTACTAAACCGCCCATTTTAAGTGTAAACTTTTCCGATCTACTTAGAACCGAGTATAAACCTCCAACCCCCTCCCAAGTTTCCTTAATAGCGGTTCCATTCAAAAACCAAACGTCACGCTCTAATATAATTTGAAAGAATTATTCTCCCCCCTTGACAAAAGTTATTACGTTAAATCACGCCGCCCAAAATGCGAATTCCCATAAAAGGGGATGCTGCAAGATAAAAGATGGGGTCAAATACCAGCAATGAGAAATTAACGACCATTCCTGACACACCCCTAAACTCGAATATCCCATAAGCAGCTCCTACTGAAATTCTTCATCTCACTAATGCGTAAAGTTAACAATGGGTTATGTTACAGCATCGCTCAGGGGAGAAAACTGCGTTTTTTAGGGGGGATATATAAAAGTGTGCGCATACGTAACTTCCGGCGAGATACGGTCTTTAAATAACTGCATAAAACAATATCAATTGTTTTGCTAATAAGTTACGATCCTTATCGTTGGCCTTTCTAAAATTATACGCTTAATTAGGCAACGTAACGGTATGCTGTATACGTTCAATCTCTTGTGTATGTATATGCAAAAATGTTGTTGTGTAGAGTAACAGTAGAAGTCAAAGAACTACTTAAAAGTCTTCAAATAAGTTCATTAACCTTGTTTTGATTGCGACGTCTCGTCTCGTAACCGATAATTAGAGGAGCCCTTCATCGGAAGTGACGATTTGATTCATTTCCTGTGAAAGTCACGCTATTCTGTAACAGTAAAAAATATATATATATATATATAAAAATGGTTGTTCACAGCTGCTGCCATTATCGGTGACATGTTTTAAACAATAAAACCTTAAAAATGATCGATTTAGACTGATGAAAAGTGCCATTTTTAATTGTTAAAAAATGTGTAATTTTAAGAGAAGAATTCGGGGGTCAAAGGTCGTTTTCAACAGGGAAATTAACCTAATGAATCTGCCATTTAGAGAGATAAATATAAAAGATTAAGAAGATATAAAACAATATAAATTAGTCTGATTTTTTTCACATTGGCGACTAAATTTTGGGGATTTGTGTGCAAAATGATCTTCTGACTCTTCCTTCTGATTCACCATTAAAATATTCTTTTGATTGGCCTAAAAGTCAATTAACCGTGCTTCGTGTAACAATTACAATTGAGAAAATGAATCGTAAACTATCAACATTATCTTTTTACACGATGAGAGAAATTGAGCTTTGTAATGTTAACTAACTTTTAGACCACCCTGTATAGATTTGTACTATCGGCGGTAGAATTTCTCTTAGCGAATTAAGCGAAGTAACATTGTAATATAACGCTAAGTATCAACAGAACATAAGGTATCTTAATCCCTCATAATATCTCTATCTCGTTACTAATTTTTTAACCATTGTGTATTCTACAATAATATTATCCGGTACTAACGAATGGGTTCTTGGTTTACGTATTGTAAGGAAGCCGAACCAATTCCCTTCTGTATTGTATAAAGACCCTTTTGGATCCGACTGTTGCAACAATTAAAAACTCTTCTGTTAAAAAATACTTTATAACAATTAAAATTTAAAAATCGAATTGCGTAAACGTAACAATATAAATTTATTTTCTAACAATTAAACAGCCTGTTAGTTAATTAAGAAACAATAGAAAATTATCTTTATCACGTTAGAAATGATATTAATATTTATACACCTATCTAGGGTATATTAAAGCATATATCTTTACAAACATCTACAATAGTTATTGTCTCAATTTTCCTCAATAAAATTAGATAGAATCAACAAGTGAAAATAGTAATACTTGTTTTGTTTCTTTTATTGGAAAGTCAGGCAATAAAATATCGAGTTTAAAGCCAAAAAAAAGCAGCAAAAAATACAAATTTTTATGACAAATTTGTATTTTTAAGTAACAAATATGCGATCAAAGGAGAAGAATTCATCATTTTTCTGGAATAACATCATAACTATTTTATGGTAATGCGTTACCCATGAATTATTTATAATCACGCGTAATATATAATTATTAAGTAAAATATTCTATCAAAAAATAAGGTTAAGCTAGAAAAATGGAATGGAATGTTTTTCTTAAATAGAAAAATCATCCAACTGTTAAATAGATTAAAATATTTCGAGTAACGTAACACCGGCATACATGAAAAAAAATAACACTAAAAAACTTACGTTTCCTTCAGTCTATTAATTAAATATATATAAAAGAAACGGCGTGGGAATTTCAATTAATCACTTAACAGACAGACCTACTTGCTGTATACTACCTTAACAACAATAAATTCTCATACTTTTGCCTTAATGACATTTGTTTAACCATGCCGATAACATACTAACCTCATTTATGCGATAAAATTCCATTAAAATTTCGATTTACAATGAACAGTATCGGTTTCAATAGCGTTAAACACTCGATATACCCTTAATTGCATTAATGCACCCCTAGATATACTGTCACATTGGCATTCCTGAGGAGTCAAAACGGCATTCCAAAAACTGCAGTGTACCTTTAAGAAATTTACACTGGATCGCCACGTATAATACACTTTACTGTTACTTTATCTATAGCTTCAAACAATCTTACCTGAGTAAGTCGATTACATGTATATATATATATATTCCTGGTGTAGAAGTCGTCTCTACTTCTTGGCAAATGGCGTCAGGAACCTGTAGCATATAGTAGACCCTAAGGCGAATTGCCCACTGGTATCCTGCCCTACCTACGATATAATCATTACGCTGTATTTCAAGGTCTACGATACGCTTGATAGAACATGAGAATGTTTTTTTTTCTTCCCCCTTTAATTTCTTCAGAGGTTTTGCTGCGCTTAATGTTAACGCGAGAGTATCACAAAGAAATATGAGGAGAGAAAAACAGTTCTTGATTATTTACAGGATGCCACCATGCGGAAAGGACGATCCAGTCACCGTCGTATGTATCAAGTAACAGTTGGTTGAATATTTTTCTTTCCTATTATGACCTTCACCGTTACAAAAGAACCAACCAAGAACGTGCTACCTTTCTTTTTCCTTTCCTCAAAAAAATTAAAAAGTTTTTTTAATTGATTATAGTGATAAAGGAAATAAAAATTTTTTTAAAAAGACGACTCTGTCTGGATGTCTGTCTCTCTTCTTTTTATCTTCAAATTATACGCTATGTTGAAGAACATGACTCCTTTTAGTACTGGGGATGCGTTATTTCGAATATCTCACGCGTTATAATGCTTCACTACTAAAAATTTAGTGCTTTATCTCAATTAGAAATATGCTCATTTATTTATTTATTTTTCCCTTCATTTCTTAAAATTTATCAATTTCACAAACAGCTGATCTTAATTGTAATTAACTTTAATTGTTTATTTCATTTTTAATTGTAATTTACTTTAATATAATTGTCTATTTCATTCAGCTGTTTACGAAATTGATCATTTCTACTATAAAGAAACAGATTAATTTTTATGAACAGCTGATTAATAGAAACTGATGATTTTACTGATTATATAGGTTAAAAACTCTGTGCAATTTTCAAATAAACTATCTTTCTCTAAATATTTAAAAAAAAAACATGTGAAACATTAACATGATCTATATTTTTCTGTAAACAGTAAGCTTAATATACAAAGAAACAAATTACAACATATCCTTGTTGAAAATAAAGCTTAAATTACTACAATTTATTTCTCAAAAATTTGGGAAATACACCACCATGTTTTATAAAAATATATAAAACTGTTTCAAAAGTCGCTCCGACCCACGGAAACATTTAAGAGGAACAGGGGTCTTCAGTTTACGCATAGTAAAATTTAGTAAATACAAAAACAACTGAATTCCAATTAAATTTTAGTATGCATATTACTGAAGATGTGGGTTTTTCTCAAATATTTGATTCCTTGAGTGAGTTTTATATACTACAATTATTAAATTTATCATGTAAAAATACTCTTCATATACTGTATATTAATCAGGGCTAATTTTATAAAAATTAAATCATTTACACAGCTTAAATTCTGTACCAAATAGCAATGGGAGACTTTGCACATTCAAGAAGTGCAGTTTTATGTTTGAATGTGCAAAGTAATGTGTAAGCATGGTAAGCTTCAAATTGCTATTGGATACTGAAATTTCAACAATTAAGACTGGACATCCTAGCTCCCTCTCTGTTGGCAGTAGACTAATGCCAACTGCCTCAGCTCCTATATGATATAGTTAAGGTAAAATAAGAATTATTTTTAATTCAATATATTAAAATAAATTATTATTACCTTTGATCGATAAATGCCTATAGTGAGGGACAAACTGGCTATACACTTGCTACACTATCGATTACAGATATCTTTGGTAATCTGAATATTCGTATGAGGTTTTTGAAAAAGGATTATTATGTTTTAAAGAAATCAATAGAGCAAGAAAAACGACCGCCAATAAGTTTTGGTTAAATGCACCAATGATTTATTTACTAATTACAGATAATTCATTTAATATCAGGTGATAATCACAGATTTACCAGCATATTGGACAAATTTTGCTTGACGGATAAAAAACTAATTATTCTTATTGTATTACAAATTAATTAAACAAGATATTTTACACTTTCTTCCTTTTATAAGATCTTTGTACAACGTATTAAACTAATTTTTAATTATATCATACAGAATCTTCACAGTTTTATGGCAACTGCTCAATACGGATAGACGTTAAATGTGTGTTACATTTTATGTAGTATACAAATTTACATTCCTTATTAAGTTCTCGTTTATTCCTCTTAAAATATTACGTAGAACAAAAATGCCGAGCGACATAAAATATAATTAAGAGAGTACATTAAATGGAAGAAAATGAATGTAAAAATGCCTCTTTACTAGTTGAATAAATAAGAGAAAAAAAACATATCATAAATCTGTTTAAAACATGTGCATAGTTTATCATTTCTTTGAATAAATAATTGAGAATTTTAGCTGACAAATTATAAGCAAAGTTTCACATTATTTCAGTTTATATTAAAATCTAATTATTGATTCTATTTCAAGATTTCGTGTTCTCATTTTCATCGAAATCATCTTCGAGCTCTAGATCATCTAATTCTTGGAAGAGTGATTCATCAACTTTAACTTCTTCATCTCCTAAATAAGTTTTATGATTAGCATTAAAAAAATACATTTTTTTTTACAATGATAATAAAATGATATAACTTACCTTCCTGTAAGAATCTTAGGTCAGATTCTATTAGCGTTCTGTCCTTCTCGAACAATTCTCGGCCTACGTTATAAATATGATCATCACTATGAAGTCATTATGAGATTATATAATAGAAACAGGTGGGCAGGAAATGAATTACCTGTTAGCTTCTTTGTACCTAATTCTTCTTTAACAAATTGATTTCGTTTTATTTCTGCCATTTCGGCATCAAATTTAGTTTTCCATGTTAAAAACGTTTCGACCGTCACTCGAGTCCCTTCAAATTTTTTCTGTAATTATAAAATTACAGTTTAAAATAATATATTTAGTTTGCTGTAAAATTAATTAAATACAGGTATGTGTGCCTTAGTGATAGATCGCACTTACAATGATGGTCCCATAAGATTATAATGGGGCCGAAAAATTTATAATTACCTGTATCTCTTCTATGTTTAGATATAATTAGATACATAAATTCTTATTGTATTACATTTAGCTTATATCAGTAGTGGATTGTGACATATAGGTTTATTTAAATATGCTCTATAATGACATATTTTTAATGTTTTTCGAGACTGCATCTCGGCTTCGGATCTCATACAATAGTTTTTTAAACCAAATAGCTGTTCATGTTGGCATTTTAAAGCCACTTGAATGCAGCGTAAAATTCAGATAATAAAAGTAAGGTTTTTCGAATCTGTACCCTGGGTTCGAGCGACTTTAGCATGCCGACGCAAACTTGCATTCATTTAAAAAACTGCTGTACGAGACACAGCTTTGAAAAATGTTTTATATCTACTAAAATATTGACTCCTTAACTGATTTACCATCCTTATTTTGTACAATTCTATATAAATTTTGAATTCTGTCCAGTATTGTCTCAAGTTATAGAGAAAAATTTTATATCCAGTATTAAAATCTATAGAAAATTATACAGAAACAAAAGAATAGAAAATTTCCTTATATTTTATTGATTACTTCCTTATGTAAGGGTAATAAAATTTATTTTATTTTTAAATTTAAATTATACCCCTCAAAAAATTGATTTTCAAATTAATGTCAAAAAGTCCCCCCCTTCTATCCAATGAAACAATTGAAATATTGTAACTGTAATTTCATTCAGGAAATATTTAAAGATAAATAAAGAAATCAAATAGGGGTTACCAGTTTGAGAAAAAATTGTCCTCGTTTTGAGTACGAATCATTTTTAAATTATAGAAAAAAATGGGGCCATTTGATCCATAGAATTTATATCATTTGCATATATTATCGAATACCAGGACCTCGTGTTACGACTCTGCAGCTTAGGGTATATTTGATAGAGCGGGACCTGATATAGTTTAGGCCCACAACTATTTAAATTTACACTTATTAACAGGGGCATGCTTCATACAAGGTGGAATTTGTGTAGTGTAAAACGATCTCCCCCCACTCGAATAATTCTCAGAATGTTCTACTAAACTTAAACGATCCCACGCATTAACCTATTGACTCGACTTACTCATTAGAGTGCAATATCCCCCCTTCGTGAGTAAACAAACCTACTAAACCGCCCATTTTAAGTGTAAACTTTTCCGATCTACTTAGAACCGAGTATAAACCTCCAACCCCCTCCCAAGTTTCCTTAATAGCGGTTCCATTCAAAAACCAAACGTCACGCTCTAATATAATTTGAAAGAATTATTCTCCCCCCTTGACAAAAGTTATTACGTTAAATCACGCCGCCCAAAATGCGAATTCCCATAAAAGGGGATGCTGCAAGATAAAAGATGGGGTCAAATACCAGCAATGAGAAATTAACGACCATTCCTGACACACCCCTAAACTCGAATATCCCATAAGCAGCTCCTACTGAAATTCTTCATCTCACTAATGCGTAAAGTTAACAATGGGTTATGTTACAGCATCGCTCAGGGGAGAAAACTGCGTTTTTTAGGGGGGATATATAAAAGTGTGCGCATACGTAACTTCCGGCGAGATACGGTCTTTAAATAACTGCATAAAACAATATCAATTGTTTTGCTAATAAGTTACGATCCTTATCGTTGGCCTTTCTAAAATTATACGCTTAATTAGGCAACGTAACGGTATGCTGTATACGTTCAATCTCTTGTGTATGTATATGCAAAAATGTTGTTGTGTAGAGTAACAGTAGAAGTCAAAGAACTACTTAAAAGTCTTCAAATAAGTTCATTAACCTTGTTTTGATTGCGACGTCTCGTCTCGTAACCGATAATTAGAGGAGCCCTTCATCGGAAGTGACGATTTGATTCATTTCCTGTGAAAGTCACGCTATTCTGTAACAGTAAAAAATATATATATATATATATAAAAATGGTTGTTCACAGCTGCTGCCATTATCGGTGACATGTTTTAAACAATAAAACCTTAAAAATGATCGATTTAGACTGATGAAAAGTGCCATTTTTAATTGTTAAAAAATGTGTAATTTTAAGAGAAGAATTCGGGGGTCAAAGGTCGTTTTCAACAGGGAAATTAACCTAATGAATCTGCCATTTAGAGAGATAAATATAAAAGATTAAGAAGATATAAAACAATATAAATTAGTCTGATTTTTTTCACATTGGCGACTAAATTTTGGGGATTTGTGTGCAAAATGATCTTCTGACTCTTCCTTCTGATTCACCATTAAAATATTCTTTTGATTGGCCTAAAAGTCAATTAACCGTGCTTCGTGTAACAATTACAATTGAGAAAATGAATCGTAAACTATCAACATTATCTTTTTACACGATGAGAGAAATTGAGCTTTGTAATGTTAACTAACTTTTAGACCACCCTGTATAGATTTGTACTATCGGCGGTAGAATTTCTCTTAGCGAATTAAGCGAAGTAACATTGTAATATAACGCTAAGTATCAACAGAACATAAGGTATCTTAATCCCTCATAATATCTCTATCTCGTTACTAATTTTTTAACCATTGTGTATTCTACAATAATATTATCCGGTACTAACGAATGGGTTCTTGGTTTACGTATTGTAAGGAAGCCGAACCAATTCCCTTCTGTATTGTATAAAGACCCTTTTGGATCCGACTGTTGCAACAATTAAAAACTCTTCTGTTAAAAAATACTTTATAACAATTAAAATTTAAAAATCGAATTGCGTAAACGTAACAATATAAATTTATTTTCTAACAATTAAACAGCCTGTTAGTTAATTAAGAAACAATAGAAAATTATCTTTATCACGTTAGAAATGATATTAATATTTATACACCTATCTAGGGTATATTAAAGCATATATCTTTACAAACATCTACAATAGTTATTGTCTCAATTTTCCTCAATAAAATTAGATAGAATCAACAAGTGAAAATAGTAATACTTGTTTTGTTTCTTTTATTGGAAAGTCAGGCAATAAAATATCGAGTTTAAAGCCAAAAAAAAGCAGCAAAAAATACAAATTTTTATGACAAATTTGTATTTTTAAGTAACAAATATGCGATCAAAGGAGAAGAATTCATCATTTTTCTGGAATAACATCATAACTATTTTATGGTAATGCGTTACCCATGAATTATTTATAATCACGCGTAATATATAATTATTAAGTAAAATATTCTATCAAAAAATAAGGTTAAGCTAGAAAAATGGAATGGAATGTTTTTCTTAAATAGAAAAATCATCCAACTGTTAAATAGATTAAAATATTTCGAGTAACGTAACACCGGCATACATGAAAAAAAATAACACTAAAAAACTTACGTTTCCTTCAGTCTATTAATTAAATATATATAAAAGAAACGGCGTGGGAATTTCAATTAATCACTTAACAGACAGACCTACTTGCTGTATACTACCTTAACAACAATAAATTCTCATACTTTTGCCTTAATGACATTTGTTTAACCATGCCGATAACATACTAACCTCATTTATGCGATAAAATTCCATTAAAATTTCGATTTACAATGAACAGTATCGGTTTCAATAGCGTTAAACACTCGATATACCCTTAATTGCATTAATGCACCCCTAGATATACTGTCACATTGGCATTCCTGAGGAGTCAAAACGGCATTCCAAAAACTGCAGTGTACCTTTAAGAAATTTACACTGGATCGCCACGTATAATACACTTTACTGTTACTTTATCTATAGCTTCAAACAATCTTACCTGAGTAAGTCGATTACATGTATATATATATATATTCCTGGTGTAGAAGTCGTCTCTACTTCTTGGCAAATGGCGTCAGGAACCTGTAGCATATAGTAGACCCTAAGGCGAATTGCCCACTGGTATCCTGCCCTACCTANAATATATAAATTGAGATAAGAATGATAAATGATAAAGAATGCATTCTTTATCATTGTCATCAAAAATATAAATACACGACTCAGTTTGACAGAAAAAATACACTCGACGATTGACGAATGCTGAGATAAAAATAAACAATTCTAAATATGTATTTCTGGAATAATATGTACTAAACAACAGGTCTTGTGATCAATAATTTTATTTGATAACGTTACTGTCTTTTAATATTTGACAATACACAATGTGGCTCAAGTTTTAAATTTTAATAAAAATTAAAATACATAAAACAAATTTCACTTGCACAGAAATAATCTGTCGTAATGAAATGGATAAAAGTCTGGAAAATGCCATCTGAATCCAAGTAGGAATATCTGCAGTGAGAGAAATAAAGAAAGAAAAAGAAAATACATCATTGTCTATAACTAGCATGAATTTGGATTCAAAAGTCTAAGTTGTAGAGAGAAAGGCTAAAATATAAACTTGTTTTTATATACGTAGTGAGTAAACCAGAAGTTCTGTCTGATGTCAGAACTTACAAGATTCTAATAAAATCTTATTCGACTTTTTGAACTTATGCCAATTTCTTTTTCCGTTAAAATGCTAAGCCCGAAGACAATATTGACACAATGAATTGTAAAATGTCAAAGTTTATATGAAACATTAGCTTCTTGGATTAGTCATTATTTATATACACATTATTAACTATATCTTGTATAATTTTATTCTCCTGAAATTAAAACTGTACATTAACTAGCTTCAAAGCAAAACATAGTAGTTATAATTTTTAAAACTATAGACCCATGGTGGCCAAACTGTAGCTCATGTGCTACACGCAGTTCTTCTATACCCTTATTATTGTTTCTATATATTGGACCCATACCCCTCACATATATAGTATATAGATTATATATAAAATACAGTTCCAATATAGACGTGACTCTTACTTATTTTTGATGTGTAATGGCTCAAGATTTGGCCATTCCTGCTATAGACTATTTTGTTAGTG